ACATTCTTTCTTTAACTAGGTCAATTATTAGTTATTGTAATTATTAGTTACTGTAATGTGTTCCTTTACCTCCTAGTTTTCTTTGCTTTAGCTACATTTTATATTCCTTTCTTTAAGATCACCAATAAACTGATGTCTTAAATGTACTTCTGACACATAAACTGAATCTTTCTATTTTTTTTGGAGAGTTTTTTTTTTTTTTTTTTTTTGCTGTATTGCACATGTGCTCACCAGAAAGACAGAGAGAGAGACAGAAAGCGAGAAATCACCCCCAAGGGGGGATGGCCACGCCACAATCCCTTCTCTTCCTTTCTCCTCTCGGGATCTTGGGCACACATGCACATGCGCCCGGCATGAGTTTAAGCCACCGGGTCCGGGATTTGAACCACGGTCGACTACATAGGAGTCCAGTGACATAGCCATTATGCCAACTGCTGGTCCCATACATACACTGAATCTTTCTCAAACATAAGCAATCCCCATAATTCTTACGTGTTTTGTTCAAATCCTTCTTTCATTTCATAAAATCTTTTCTTAAGTTTCAATCTTCTGGGGGATTTTTTTTTCTTTTTGGTAATAAAACATTATCTGAGACTCTTCCTTTTGCCTTTACTGTCAAAACCTCAAAGCATCAATACATCAGCACATTCTAAAAGGAGTTTTCAGATATATCACTATATCTTTATATAAGATACATCTTCAAATATTTATTTGGCAGACCCCAATGTGTTATGCCCACCCTTATGTATTCCTCACCTTTGTGTTTGGGTTAAAGCTGTGACTTGCTTCTTAGAATATGGCAAGGGTGATGGAATATCTCTTTAATAGGTTGTTACTTGTCAAAGTGATGAATGTCATTTACTAGAGTCCATTTCTAAGACTCCGTCTTAGCCAACTGCAGAAAGACTCCTCTGCTAGCTTTAAGCGAGCCTTAATCAGCCATACTGAAAACTACCCATGGGGTAGAGGGTCAGCACATGGTATGGCGGTTACATTGCTGGGTTCCCACATGGCTGACTGTGGTTCAAGTCCCAGACCTGGTGGCTTCAAAATCCCACTGGGGCTGTGTGTGTGCATTCCCAAGATCCCAGGAGGAGAATGGGGAAGTGATTATGGCATGTTCATCCACCTTAGGGTGATTTCTCACTTTCCCTCTTATTGTCTGTCTGTCTGTCTGTCTCTCTCTCCCCTGGGAGTTCACATACCCTACGGCCAAAACCTCTTGGAAAAAAGAAAGAAAGGAAGAAAAAGGAAAGAGAGAGAGAGAAAACTACCAATGGGGAGAGTCCCATGGCAGAGAACTGTAAGTGACCTCTAATACCTAATGACAGCTGTCAACTAATAGCAAGTAAGAAGCTGGGGCCCTAACATAGCTACATGTAAATTAATTTGTCAATTGTCTGCATGGATGGGAAAGCAGATTCTTTTCTAATTGAGCTTTCATATTAGAACACATTCTACCAAACATCTTGATGGTAGCTGTATAATACTCTTTTTTATACCCATCAGACTAGGCCTTAATACCGGACCTACAGGTTACAAGTATGTATTGCTTTAAGCTGCTACATTTGTAGTGATTTATTACACAATGACAGGAAAAAAATGACAAGACTTAATGGTCTTCAAATTAAATGATGAGTTATTTTGGTACCAAAAAAAGATTGCAATCTATGCATAGTTTTTCTTCTAATACCATTTTCCACGAACTTTTTGAAGATCTTGTGGCATGGTAGTTATGTTGCTGGGTTCCCGCATGGCCCAGACCTGGCTTGAAAATCAGGTCAGGCAGGTATGTGTGCATGCCCAGGATCCTGGGAGGAGAATGGAGAAGAGATTATAGCATAGCCATCTCCCCTAGGAGGTGATTTCTCACTTTCCCTCTCACAGTCTCTGCCTCTCTCTCTCTCTCTCTCTGTCTCTCTCTCTCTCTCCAGTGAGTACATGTTCCCTAAGGCAAAAACCTCTTTAAAAAAAAGATTTTTAAAAATTAAAGAGAGCAGTGTTGAGCTAGTGTGATATCGGTCTAATTAGTGGGGCTGAGCATTGGGTTTTATCCTCTCCTCTTCATGAACAGGAAGAGAAAAATTATTCTATATATTCACAACCCCAAGTTAACTGAAAGCACTCCAAGAAAGTGACTTATAGAGAGTGAGAGTTGCTAGTGAACTGGAACTAACACTGACCCAGCTTGTCATAGGAGGCTTCTCGTAAGAGTATTTACTACACCCTGAACTTTGGAGAGACGTGAACAAGAATGCTGTCCGTGTCCATGCCTGTTAAGGTCTGGCTTCTGACTACAACAGCCTAAGAGATGGTTTGAGAGAGTAGGCAGCATCACCATGCTGCTTGCCAGTGACGAGACAAGGCAAAACCCCCTGCATTTTCCACAAAAGCTATTCATTATTTCACTACCTTAAAAAAATACTCAACCTGAGATGGTAGTTGGCCAGAATAAAAGAGACTGAGCAGTATGAGGTGGTTGTCTAAGGTAGTTTTAAGAGCAGAATGTATATAGGGATTGTGAGAGGTCACTCAGAAAACTAAGTCAGGAAACAAGGTAATACAGTACAGAAATCCATAAATAACCCCACAAATGCATCACCTGAAACAGCTTTAGCTAGGAATCGAGTGTCTGCCACAGAGGACATTGACAATATTACATTAATAATAGTGATTTAGAAGTTTTCTCTTTTCCCATGAAATCTCCTTCTCCCAACTTGGCCCTGAAATATTCCACAACAGAAGAAGTTGAGGGACAAGTAAATGAACTTATCATGTTTTTGTTTGTTTGTTTGTTTGTTTGCCCCACATAAATTCCTTCAGTTCTGAGTCTGTTATGGAATTGGGGTAAAAGAGAAATTTTTATCTTTATGGGACTTTGCTATTATAAATTAAACTCTGCTGGAATTTTGTTTTAATCCTGAGAGAGATCAGAAAAAATACGATTGGTTGTGATATTGCCATGGGATAGAGAAAGGAATGGTAGTAGTACAAAATCAAAGGCAATCTGTAGTTGGAGAAAGGTAGAAATAGCTTTTTTGGCTTGTTCTCCAACACATACAGCCATTAGTGCTCTCTAATTGCTTCTTTTCCCCTTGTTTATTTGACCCTAATTCAGGGCACATCTCTCCATGACTGCTATTATGAACCCCCTACCTTACAGTGTAGGAACTTATTTGCATTCTTTCACTTATGCAATTTTTAATTCTTTCAATCAAGTTGGAAGCTGAACTGGGAGGTAATGTAATTTTGTTTCATCAATTTATTTATTAACCAGTTTTAGGTAGATAATATGGTTTACGATTATGAACAACTATAACTGGAGAAACTTGAGTTTACACAATTGTTTTTCCTTATATTTATGACAAATCATAAAACCAAAAGCAAGTTTCCCAACTCGAGTTTTCTTAGCTTGTCTTGTCATCAAGATATATAGAATTGGTAATTCTGATCTACTACTTAGAACTTTATCTACTACAGTCGGAGGAATGCTGCATCATGAGGATGATGCATAGTACACTTGGAATTTTATTATTTTCTTTTGTTTGCATCAGAATACATAGGCCACTTTAGTAAAGTCTGGTTGAATTCAGAACAATTGCAGCAAAAATATTTTTAAGAGGTTTTTGCCTTAGGGCACATGTGCTTGCCCTTCATAGGGGCAGAGACAGTTAAAGAGAAAGTGAGAAATCACCCCTCGGGGGATGGTCATGCCACAATCCCTTCTCTTCCATTCTCCTCCCACGATCTTTGATCTTCGGCATGCATGCACATGTATCCAGAGTGAGTTATAAGTTGAGTTACAAGTTACAAGTGAGTTACAAGACCAATTCCAGGTCTCGAATCACAGATGACCATGTGAGAGTACAGCGACATAACCATTATGCCATATGCTGCCCCTAACCACCAACTTCTTATTGATTTAGCTGTATATTATGCAGGAACTCACCATTATTTATTTCAACAACTGATGGTTAGAAATGACAAAAAGGGATCCACTCTGGTCTTTCTAAATCATGAGCATGTTTTCCATGATCTTGCTCATTCAAATTAGAACATTTGTCTTCAGAACTCAAAATACTTTCCAGGATGAAGGAAATTCTCATTTTTATTTCCAAATAAGAACTACTTTGTTTAGAGCTAGAAGCGACTTTATGTTCAGGTTTGTTTAGTACATTCCTGGTTTACATTTGTTTTTATGGTATAATTATAAATAAAATGATTTAATGTTGAAAAGTCACTTGTTTGGGCCATACTTTGTTGCTTATCCTATAGAGAAGTTAAATTAGATATCATTCCAAGCATTTTTTTACACAACCCAGCATTTACTCTTGCAGCTCACTGATGCTGTATCAGAATGTTCTAGATTCTTCTAAATTAAGGGCTCTGAACCAAGTTAGTAGATATCACTTTCATCATGCCCTGCTCTTGTCTTTATATCTTATTCTTCATCACTTTCCAAAACAGCATGATACTTTTTTTTTTATGAAAAGCAGTTAAAATTTCATCCATAGGTGACTTCTTTTTTAGTTTATTTCCATCTGTCCTATAGCTGATTAGCATTCCTATTTTATAAGATGTACTGCATTTTCATCTAATTTGGTAACTCATAAGGGTATATTTTTCCTAATTTAAGTTTTCTTTTTTAAAAGAACATTCCCAGAGTCTTTCATTGGCCACTTACAGATGCAACATTAGCTGATCCCATTGAAAACGCTGCTTTCCTTTTGCTATCTCTTCCTGTGTGTTTCTCTCCCAGCTCTGTAGATGCAACTCACATGTAGGAACACAGGTCCACAAAAAGAAAATAAAAAGACACTCTCAATCAAGAGGCAAGAAAAGTACACTAGGTCTCTCCAGATGCTATTTTTACCAGGTTGACAGGTCTCTGGCTGGAGAGCAGTCAACCTGCAGGATCCTATCATTTTAACCACCATGCCAACAGTTGTCCCTGCCACCCCCATTTTAAGGAGGAGAAAGAAACAAAGTCAAAGAATTCAGCCTGTTCAAAACCAGCCCACATGTTGTATACCAGGCTACACCACCATACGGCCAGCTTCAGTATTACTTTTTACTACCTCGTTTTAACTACCACCAAGACCAGTGTTCAGTTCCAAAGGGGAAGGAAGTCAGAGGGTCCTAATTTTTCTATTGACCATTTCAAACAACTTTTTAAAAATTTAACTTTATTTATTTATTTAAATTTGACCAGAGAGAGAAAGAGAGAGAGGGGGGAATGTGAGAAAGCAAGCTGCCAGGTCTGGGAATCAAACCACAGTCAGCAATGTGGGGGGGGATGGCCATGTCGCAATCCCTTCTTCTCCATTCTCCTCTTGGGATCTTGAGCACGCACGCACACATGCCCAGCATGAGTTTAAGCCATTGGGTCTGGGACTCGAACCATGGTCAACTACATGGGAGTCCAACAACATAGCCATTACGCTAACTGCTGGTCCCCTCTCAAGCAATTTCTAAGAGGAGAGTTTGGAAATGTCTTCCAGAAGAAATAATCTGTGTATGAGATTGAAATTCTTTGGGTATAAGATTTATAACTTGCGCTGCATATATGTTCTTATATAAGCATGGAAGACTTGCATGTCATCTAGTGGAAAAAAAAAATACACAAATACGGCAACCCTTCTCCAAATATTTTACCTACTGAGGCTTAAACTTTACCATGTGAGATGTTCTTAAACATTTCACAAGCTAGACTATTTTCTTAAAGATAGAAATGACTTATGAAATTTGGTCAAGAAATTAACTCCACAAAGTTTTAATGTGAATTAAGATATCTAAAGAAAACAAGAAAACTTAAAAGCACTGGAACTCAAGGGGTGATACAGATAGGAAACAAAAGGGGGTGTAAGGGAGAGTAGCAACACCCAAACATATTCTGGGCTGCTTTTAAGACACAAGGGTATGAACACAACAGCAAACACTTCTGAGGGCTATTATTGTAGTATATTTGGGATCACACCTTGAGTT